GACGCAGCGGCATGCTCGAATTTCCCGCGAAAACCTACCCGTACCACTCAAATTAGAAAACATTATACATAAGCTAACCGTTGTTAATCAGGCGATAGTTTTGAACACTGGCTGATTATGACTTGCTCGAATATTGATTTTGGATCATTTTTAACCAAAAAAAGTTACAGACTGCAGCTTTAAGGAAAATATGTTATGTTTATATATTACATATATTTATATATAATATAATAATATAAATATATAAATGTATATACATGTAAATATTTTCTAAATATATACTGTATGTGTGTGTGTATTTATGTATACATGATAAATATACACAGTACACACACATATATTATGTAATATACTTTTATTTTGTATGCGGTTAATTGCGATTAATCATTTGACAGCACTAGTATTTTTATGGTTTTATTTTTATTTTAGCACTGACTGGTAAATCTCGTGTCTGTTTCTCTTCCAGACGCTCGACAGGCTTCCTCTGACGAACCCCGAACACTTCGGCACTCCTGTCATCGGCAAAAAAGGAAAGCGCGGAGGCCGACGCTCCAATCCCATGTGAGTGTAATATTTTGCGATCCTGCATGTTTTGCCATTGAATCACAAAAAGCACAGTGCTGCTGGAAGTTATTGACACGTTACTCTGATAAAGAAACATGCATGAGTGAGGAAATAAAGTGCGGTTATTAAGAGTTATTACGTGCAGTAAGCTATGGCAAAGTATGATTAGTATGAAGTATCTTGCGTAATTACATTATGTGGTAAATATGGTACCCTAATTATGAAAATAACAGCAAATTGTCTACAAAACTCTGGAAATTAGTACTTCAACTTAAACATTAATTTAAAATGTTTATGCTTTTTTCATGCAATATTTATATTGTGTTTTATTTCAACTCTTTCAATTACCATAAAGGATTTTTATTAGTTTAATAGTGCATTTTAATAATAGTTGTAAAATTCTACTTCAATAAGGCCGTTTAGGACACAATTGACATGTTGTGAGTCTCATTGATTGCGTTACGCTGATAAAACACTCCTCACCTGAAGGATGAAGCGTCTGTGTGTCTCGCTCCTGATGCTCCAGGGACGCGGCGGGTTCGTCTGGGAATACCAATTACACAGTGTTAGCTGTTGTAAATTACGTCTCTTCTTTTAGCAGTCGCACAAATAGGACAAACGCTGCCCTGGAATTCTCCATCCCCAGACACAAATCAGAGAAAAGCCAATGCTTTTCCTCCAGTGCTTCGTCTCGAACAGGACATGTCCCACCGGCACAATGACAGATATGACTCTTGTGTAGGGTTGCAAAAAGGTGGAACATTTCCAGTAAATTTCGGAAGTATTCCAGAAATGTTGGAAACTTTCCAGGATTTTTTGGAATATTCCATGGATTTTGGGAAAGTTTCCGGAAATTTACCGGACATTTTCCACCCCTTTGCAACCCTACTCTTATGTGCTCATCATTACTCCGTCAGTCACACGTGAACTTTAACAAGGAATCAGAGGCGGTCATAATGTTTGGGGTGTCATTGATTAGTCAGCTAGTGGATTAGTTCTTAATCCTTAACAAGCATTTTTGCCTATTTTTCAGTAAAAATATGAAGCTAAATTGACTTGACGTCAGTGTTATTTTAGCATTATCTATACACTTTTATAGTATTTATTAACGTTTTGAATTAGCTTGTATTTTAGTTTTAGTTTGTTTAATAATTGTAATTTTATTATGTTTTATATGTATTTCCATATAGCTTTCTTTTTTTCAGTTTAAGTAATTTTAGCATTTATATATATTATAGTATTTTTTAAATGTTTTAAATGAGCATTTATTTGTGTATTTTCATATTAATTTTAGTTTAAGTTGTACTCATTTTGTTATTTGCTTTTGTCATTTTTATAAAATTTTCATAGAGCTTTCATTTATTTATTGTAGTTTTCGTAATTGTAGTACTTCAGCTTCAACTTATTTAAAATGTTAAAGCTTTTCATGCAGTATTTATATTTTATTTCAACTTTATTTCAATTACCGGGAATGGTTTTAATAGTTTTAATTTTAAAAGTAGTTTTAGAATCTAATAATAGTTGTAATTTTTTAAACAACACTGCTTGAAGCAAAAATTTAACATAAACATAAAAAAAATTACATAAACTTTATCTTTCCTACTTAATTAGCAAATCTTTTGCTACTTTATCAGTTTCTTAATATTTCCATATAGTGTTTTTTCCCCATTATTTTAGTATTTATATAGTATTATAGTATTTATTTAGGATTTTAATTGCTTTTATTCATTTTAATTTTAGTTTAAGTTTTAGTAATTTTATGTGCTTTGTCATTTTTTTAATAATTCCATATAGCTTTAATTTTAGTACTTAAACATACTTAATTTCAAATGTTAATTTAAATTTTTCAAAAAATTTATATTTTATTGTATTTCAACTTTTTTTTTTAATTACCACAAATTATTTTAAATGGTTTGATTTTTATAATAGTTTAAAGGTTGTTGTTGTTTTTTATAGTTTCATAATAGTTTTATATTATTATAATAGTTTTACTTTTTTTTTTTTTTTTTTACGCCATTGCTGGAAGCAAAATTGCAAAATGTAAAAGTTGCATAAAGTTTTTTTTTCCTACTGAATTAGCACTTTTTTTTGGTTAATAATAAAAAATAAAAAAAACTATTTTAAGAAAAACTATGACCGATAGTGATCTTTTCCACACAGCTGTTCAGAAGAAGTAGTTGCTGTGGCAGGTTTTCTTGGATTTGTTTGGTTGTTTGAGTGAGCAGGAGTCCCTGTGGTTAATCAGGTCATGTTTATTCGTGATGCAGGCTGTTGATTGGCTCATTTAACGCTAACGAGATTGGCTCTACTTGGCGGTGAGCTGGAGTGTCGGTTGTTAATTGAGAGCGGCCGTCGAGTCACGCTCCATATCCAGTATTGGCAAGTGAGAAGCTCGTCAGCTCACAGAGCCTAATTACTTATTATCTTTATCAGGACTCGCGAGCAAAAGAAAAGCAGAGTCTTCTATTGTGCCGCTGGGATACAGGGGATGCTTATCTTTCTGTGAGTGGATCGGCTGAATCATGTTTAGCTTTATCTGGCTCTCCGTTAGAGTCCATAACTAAACGATTAGCATGTTCTCTTCCGTTAGCAGTTCTTCACTGTCTAAACGCCAAATTAAGATGCACTTGTGTGTTTGCAGTCTGAATTGAATTTGATGAAAGAGAGAGACTCTGGTCGACTTAAATGACGATTAAATTTGTTCTGGGCTATTTCCATGATTTATTTTTATTGTTTGTTTGTTTATAGTCATGGCAACCCCACTAGCACTGAAAAGCAGAATCTGAAACAGAATTGTTGATTGGTTAAAATAATTCACTTTTTAAAAATGCTTAGAACTTTTAATTACAGGTAATATTGTTTCAAAATGTAAAATTTAATTTTAAATTGCCTTAAAATTAATTATATGCTGAGTCAGTTAAAAAAATTATTGTACTATTGAAAGAAAAAAAATGTAATAGATAATAATAAAGTTGTGCTTAATTGTCATGCAAATAATATCATACTAGTCTTTAATTTTTAATTTATCTAAAAATATATGTAATTTTCTGTATGCAAAATATAGTGTCTTATTTCTTTTTATTTTGGTCAAATGTGATTTGAACATGATTTCATGAGTCATATCTAACCCTTTTTAATCGCATAAATGTAAAATGAGGTTTTATTATTGCTGCTTTTAAAAAAACAGATTCTGCTTTGTTGATCAGCAGCGATATTTCACTGAATTTTAAATATGTTCTTGTGTTATCGGGGATATTAATGTAACTCAAGCACCTTTCAATCTGTTGTTTATTACACATTAACACATAATCTTGTTCCACAGTCAAGAAGAGGAGTCATCTTCATCGTCTGGTGAGGAAGAGGAGGGCGATCAGCAACAAAACGAAGAGCTTTATGGCAAAGTGGTGTGTGTGGATGGAGTCGTCACTAGTGACAAAAAGAAAACCACATGGTATCCTGCGCTGGTGAGTCTCGTCTGCTGGACACAGCACAAAAATCAAGCCTTTGTGCGAAGTACAACTATATTATGTTTTTTTTTTTTAAGCATATTTACATAAATTTGAAGTATAAAAATGAATTGCTAAAATTACTAAAACTGAAATAAAAAGCTAATTAAAGCTTTTTAATAATTAACGTTATGTGGAAATAAAAAAAATGACTCAAACTAAAAAAAAACTGAAATTTTTTTTAATGTAGTATAAATATATATTGTGTGTGTGTGTGTGTGTGTGTGTGTGTGTGTGTGTATATATATGTGGGCTGTGACT